TTGTATTTCTCTTCAGTAGTCTCTTCTTTTTTATCCGCTGCATTGGTTTACCCGATTACTATCGATTTTTAGCCAACTTATTACCATCTCTGGATAATCATTTTTAAAGAAGTATATAGTTTAGTGTTTACTGCATCCCTGTTTATGCATACGTTTTAGCAAAATGATACTTTAAAATCACGTGTTAAATTATGTGAAACAGTTGACATTGTATAGTATTATGCTTGATGACGACACATATACTTGAGATTCAGTTCTAATAAATTCAACACTATACTGATCGACTTAATGTTTTACTCGTGGTATGCTGTACACTGTATCAAGAAGTTCCTTACCATAGAAATCAGTTTCGATTCATAAAACTAATTGTTCGCAGATCAATAAATTACTCTTTCCAACAAACTCTACTTTAGGTTGGAATTCATCATCATTGGTTAATATACCTTTCTGATCTAGAATTGTATGCCTAGTCTTGAGGAGTTCCACTATTTTCTGAAAATATTGTTTCATCGATAGTAAGTGAGTAAATTTTGAAGCATATTAAAAGATTGTTGTGGTGTATTCACTTTAGAAAAAACAATCGTATATCGATTGATATAATCTATCATCTTGGCTTTTGCCAACTTACATCACCTTTGTTGCGCCGTGATATCCAATTGTCTATTAAGGGTCACATGTACTGCACCTGCACAGCAGTCCGGTCTGTTCTACTGTATGGCTGTGAAATATGGCCATTTTAGGTGGAAGACATGAGAAGGCTTCAGATATTCGGCCACCGTTGCCTTCGTAGTATAGACCGTATTCAGTGATGTCACCAGGTGAGTGAGTAACGCACAAGTCAGGCGTAGAGTTTTAGAGAGAAGTGAATCAGTTGATGCGGTTGCGAACGTTGATCAACTTAGATGGCTGGGACATGTGTTAGGTACACCTAGTCACCGTCTGCCTCATCACACAATGTTGGACAAAGTAGGTTGAGGCTGGAAAAAGGCTGGTGGCGGCGAGACCAAAACATGGCATTAATGTATGAAGTGTTTGACTGTTGGTTTGAACCAACCGGTGACTGGAGACTGACTCTAGGTAATATGGCCCAGAATCGATGTTAGTTGTGAAGATGTATACACACATTATCCTCATCTTAACGACGCTATACCGAATGTTACCATTTTCGCATTCTTCCTTTCTCTCTTTTAGTACTTTATATTTCTCATGACTGAATTTTCTCTTTTTCATCTTCCACTTTACTGCATTTTACTTGATGTACTGAGATGAGGTGTTGCAACTCGGACCGTTACGCAGTAATACCTGGTCCTATGTTGATGGTAATCTCTCATCTTGTTGTTCGGGTACGGTTCCCAATCTTGTCGGTAAGCAGCTAGTGATTCTTTTGGAACTGGTTGCATGATAAGTAGTAAGATATTGTTTGTTTCCTCTTGACGTCTTGTAACGTTCTGGTCAGATATGGAGTCAGCGCACTTTACAAATCTAAATTGTCAATTATGTCGCAGTAATACGTGAAACGTAAACGGGGGCTCCTTGTGTGTATAAAATGTGTTTAGTAACTAACTGTTTTAAGGCAAAACATTCTATTGCTTCGATAGCGTAATTAAAAGACGTAGTTTACGTGAAAAATTGTAGTGTATTTGCGCTATACATTTCAAAAGATCTGATCACATATTTACTTGTTCAAGCATTTTATTTGAAAATTGGAAATACGAAAGTAATGGATAATACTTAGTGGTAGCGTGTTCGAATCCTACGGTGGGTCAAATTTTCATTTCACCTTCAATCATCACCCAGTATCAATAAACGAATTTAATGTGAAAGGTAATGAAAGAAGAATGACAAAATTTGAAGACAACCTCCTTGGTAACCAGATAGGCATTACAAGGATAGGTTTAGCATAAAACCTAACTGTTTTTAAGCACACAAGGGTGTCTTAAATTTGTGTATGGCTAGAGCTTCAAGAAACTCAAGTATCCACCCCGTGATAGTTTCTATACAAAATTGTAAAGTTGTTTTAATATCAATCCTGTGATCTTTATCAGTGATATGATGATGATGATGGTTTTCTGCCACCTGCGTTCATCGACGTCTGTGAATCCAGCTGCTTTTTTAGCCATTTCGGTACATGTTCCCCTATCTTCAAGTGCATAGCTCGATTATACCTCTCTGTATACGTGTGTCTATACACACACACACATGTAAATGTACAAACGCAGTAAGATGTGATCGTTTATACAGAGTTGAGGTGTATGTCACAGCAGGTGTTTGGTCTTCTCAACCACAATAAGCTTAGCTGCATAGTATGTCGTGCTAATGGTAGACCTTAGGCTTTGTTCTATGGCAAAGCGATATGAACAGATTTTTTTCGGAACAGAATATAGACTGGGTTTCAACACCGGCTGATTTTTGCAACGGATTATAAACGTCAGGGATATCTCCACTAATGCTTCAGTTGGTATTTCGAAGTCATCACCCATAGAGTCTTCCATACAGATACAATGGGTCGTTTTGAATCAGCATATTACCAAACCTCACTTGTAATGAGTTGGACAAAAACTTTGGAAACTTAAATACTGACCTGTCAAAGCTAGTTTCCTGTATATCGACTGTTTTATTGTAGTATCGTGTTTCCTACGACTCAGGAATATATCCGAGCACGGAAAACATGTATCGTTTTCTTCTTCTCACCTTAAAGCGTATACTGTCGTGTACAGTGTTACCTCTTTCTACTAAACATATCTCATCTTCATGCTTGTCACTTCACAATTATGCCACCAACATACTTTACTAAGGAGACCACAAGCCAAGCCTTCAATATAATCACATATAAATATTGTTATGATCCACGCTATTTATAACAATACAATTCTCCGATGCAGCACCATTAAGGATAGAACAATAACTTTTCAACTCGATATCCAGTTGACACCAGGAGACAATGGGAATGGAGGTATATTTACCTCAACCGAATCCTGATAGCTGAAAACTCATTCGTTTATATATCCTTAGATGGCCTTGGCCAGGGGAAAGAATTAACATATTAAAAGTGTTTAGTATCCTAAACTGCGGTAAAAAATAAGTGACACAGCATGGCGCGAAAATAAGGTTTAAATTGCACAATGGTAATACAAACATATTATAAGTTAGTTTTTCTTAGGGATTAGACATCCCTTACAAATATCAGCTAGCAACAGTCCTAAAGGGACTTCTCATTACCACACCATTTTTTTTCTAAAATGTTTCCCTTCAAATGTGAACTAGTCTTTATCAGTACACAATAATAGCAACTCTTTCAAACATGTTGAAAGGATAATGAAAGAAGAATTACTGAAGGGATATATCGCCACGAAAAATTTTAATGGTTTCAGTTAAAGACAAGGTGATAAATAAGATGTTGACATCAAATGAATACAAACTTTTAATGATCGATAGTGGCTAACAGTGGGACCTAGCTTGACTTGTATTTCGTCCTATTTAGGACTGGATGTACCTGTCTCCCAGTGAGTGATGTTGTTCCCACGAGGACTTGAATTCAGAGTCGGTCGCCCCATACACCAGAAGGTTATCCACTAGACCGTTAAGTTACGAATGTGACTGATCAATTCGGCCCACTCAACTACGGGATAATACAAGTAACAACATGAAAATAAACTTTTATCTATGATATTGATATCACTAAGATAATGAACAAGTTCAAATTTATCTTTCAAGGAATATTTGACATGAATAACTTAGTTGATTAGGATGTGATTTGTTTTTAAGATTCATGTGTTACTCATACTGAGGTTATTTCTAGTTTCACATCTAATTCTGTTTAGTGTATGCAATAAACGAAAAACTAGTGACCTTGTACAACATGACCTGAATTCTAGGGAGCTTAAGACATGTACAAACATATAATTTACCGATTACTTATACAACTGAAAGCATTTTCACTCTACTTTGTGAGGTTACGATTGTGTTTATTCTCTCAAACTAAACACTACAGTAACCTTTATGAATATAACAACCTGAATAAACATTTAATGATAGATAGTGGCTAGCGGTGGAATCTAGGATATGCGTTTCGTCTTACTTAGGACTCGTCAGCTGGATTTACCTCCTTCCCAGTGAGCGATGTTGTTCCCGCGAGGACTCGGTTCCGGAAGCCACACTATTGACACCAACAGTCAGAGACGTCTTTGACTGGTCTTGATCTAGTAACCTTGAACCATTTTCCAACCTAATCCAACTTCCCCTAGCATGGTATGTGGAGGTAGGTAATGGCCAGACCATGTGCAGTTCATATCCAAGCCATCTCAGTCGATGAAAGTGCACTACCTCATCAATTGACTTACCTGTTTCGTCTAGTACCTTCGCCTGACTTCAACATTGCTCACACGGTGATTCAACCACATGCAAGCAATGCTCCGAAGACATCTATAATCGAAGAACTGTAACTATTTCCTGTCGTCTACTTTTAATGGCGGTCATGTCTCATAGCCGTGCAAGAAGAGAAAACGAACTGCATTAAAGTATACTCAGCGTTTGATAGATAATGGTATATCTTATCAATAAAAGCCACACATGGCACAAGTTGGCAAATGCCAAATAGGTCTTCTGTATCGGAGATGAGATTTCGTCAGTGACCAGCTGCCTGCTTGAGCTGATGTAGATCTCCTATTAAGTGAAGTAGTCGACACATCTCACCACTGCACTCCCTCTCATTAAGCTGGAAGTACTTGCGAAAGACCAGTCTGGAAGTATCATGTTACATTCGACAGGTGTGAAACGTCTACCAAAGATACACTGATATCTGCCCCAGGTGTTAAGAAGACACTGGATTTTTTTCCAGCATCTTCACCTATCTAGACAATATCGTCAGTTTCATATCATGGGGACTAATGTTTACTTATTCTAACCTTTTTTTTTAGTATGTTTTGTTTCATTTATCTTTTAATATATAACACTATTTTTCCCCATGTATGCTGATTCATTCATTTTTCTTTTCCTATTAGTATGTGGATGGAATTTTTAAGTGGCGTTGCTCGACAAATGATCTCACAAGTTATATTTCATCATTTCGAAAAGACTCAAAAATGAAAGGAATTAAAAGTTTCATCGCATATCAAATAACTACTTCAGTAAGTTAAAGTTATACAATGTCAACTATCATATTTTTGACCATTTGGTTTATTATTATTTATCCTTTGGGTTCCTAGTGGAATATAGTGATTCAGTAGCACATTGCTATTCCACTCTATTCTCTGAAGTCTTTTGAAGCTGCCTCCACGACTGTCCAGAAGCTTTAATTTCTTTCTCACATGATCTCTTCGATGTCATCCTCGGACACCAAACTCGTCGTTTCACATTTAGGTTCCACTCGAGGCCCTGTCCCGGCGTGTGATTTCCTCAAACATTCTTCTCAGTGTATGTCTAATCCAATCCATCTTCACTTTCTTCTACATATTTTTTAGGCGATAGGTTGTTGATTGGTTAGTTGCCAGTCAGCCATAGTTCCTTTTTGCTTATTCTTACTGGCTATCCATCTGATCTTGAGTATCGAGTGAGCGTAGGCGGCAGCTGTTGATGATGTATGTCTGCAGTTTGTTAAAAATGCTTTTCGTAACGCGCCAAGTCTCTCAATCATCACATAGAAGCACTTGACATTAGTGTTAAAAATCCGGATCTTGTTCACCCGTTATGCTGAATGGATTGTAGTGCAGTAGATCTCCACAATGATTTCAGGTTAATAATTTATTAATCAGATTAAGATAAAACTGTTTAACCTCTTCGTGGAGTACAAAACGTTTTGAAACAATTAGTCCCTCTTTGTGAATTTCGATAACGCTACTAGAAGATGAAGATTATTTGAACAACATATGATGTGTACTTGCGCAATACATTTCGAACAATCTGATCCTCCACACATTTAATTGTCTCAACTTAATTTATATATGAAGATGGAAGGTGAAATATAATGAATATGAAAAGGTTGTGACATTAGTCTTGGTAATATAATCAAATAAAGATTACCAAAGACATAGCAATCGGGGCTTAAGTTTACGAATGGCTGACTCTTTGGTGGGCAGCGAAGACGGTACTTCCTCCAGTGGACGTAGAGAAGACAGAGGTGATGAATATACCAAATCGTCAACAACAGCAACAACAAGCTCCAATCACCATAGACGGGAGCAGCACTATTTCAACTACAGGTGGCAGTGGCACAGGCGAGGACATCAAAGCCAGCCAGCCAGCCAGGATCGGAAAGACAGCAAGACAGGCATTCATCAGCCTGGAACCAGTGTGGAGATTTTCTGCACTCCACTCAGCATAAAGCGTCAACAACATCCGGATTTTGAACACCAATCCAGTCAAGTCAGTGCTTCCGTGTGATGGTTCACAGACTTGGCGTGTTACGAAAGGCATTTCCAACAAACTACATACATTCATCAACAACTACCTACGCTGGCCCGATACTGAAGCTCAGATGGCCAGAATAATAAGAATAAGTAACAAGGATCTCTGGCTGACTGCCGACGAACCAACGAAGCAAGAACCTATCGCTGAACAAATATGCAGTGGAAGGAAGTGGAGATGGATTGAATTGGGCATACACTGAGGAGGTCGACTGGGGACACATCACGCACGAGGCCAGTTACTCGAGTGGAACCCTAGTGGGAAGAGACTAGTTGGGCATTGGAGTCGAGGTTGACATGTAGGAGATGGTGTGAGGAGGAAATGAGAACTTGTGGGCAGTCATGGAGCCGGGTTCAAAAGTTGACTGAGAACAGAGTGCATTGGGGACGTGATACTGAAGCTCTGTTCCATTAGGAATCCAAGGGACAAATAATAATAATAATAATAACGCTTTGATGAATTTCAGTATATGCCCTTGGCTGTTCGTATGTAATATCTTGAACTGTTTTTATATAAACATTATAATTCATTTCGATGATTTGTTTTGCCATAAACGAAGGTGGATGGATGTCTGTCACCTGCACTTATCAAAGTTTGAAACCAGACATAAACGAACAATACTGTTTTCAATTAGATCCTCTTCAGGCTTTACTGTAATACGAATATATATATATATATATATATATATATATATATATATATATATATATATATATATATTAAATCAATCATGTAGAGTGGAGATGTTCTACTGAAGCCCTACGTTCCATTAGGAACCCAAGAGACAAATAATAATAATATAATTTGCGCAATACATGTCGAACAATCTGACCCCCCCCCCCACACACATTTAAGTGTCTCAAGTCAATTTATATATGAAGATGAAAGGTGAAATATAATGAATATGAAAAGGTTGTGACACTAGTCTTGGTAATATAATCAGATTAGCAAGGCTTACCAAGGTAAATTAAGTGAAACAACAGATTGTTTTTGTACGCATAGCTGTGGCTTAGTTCACGAATGACTAACGCTTCGGTGAATTTTAGTATGCGCCCATGATTATTCCTGTATATCTGTATCTTGAAGGCTGTTATCATATTAACCTTGTGTTTCATTTCGATGATTTGTTTTGCTTTAGATGACGATGGATGTCTGTCACCTGAACTTATCAATGTTTGTGTGTTAAATTGCTTTTCAAGCTATGTTCACCCACCCTAGTCTGTTTTGCACCATTATTCCTCCCTGTTTATGTGTGTTCACACATACATGTAAATTGGTAAACACAGTGGGATGTGACGTAATCATTCATGCGAGGTTGAGGTAGATATTTTGTTGTCCGAACAATGATAAACTGAACTGTATAGTATGTTTTACTGATAACAGATTTTAATCTCTGCTTCAATATCATACTACTTGTTTCCCCTCTGTATGGTACTTAAAGAAATATATCCTTCTTCAGGACCGAGGAAATTATAGGCTTCGGGATCAGATGTTTTCTACAACGGTTTACAAACTGTAATGGATATACATTTTCCATTAGTGTATCTTTCAGAAATTTCAACTCATCATTCATCGTATCCGATGTACAAATACTCTGGATTCCATTGAACAAGCATCTTACTAAGCCTGTCTAACAACTGTGTGTGTAGGTACACATATATAAGGAGGAGTAATCGGGCTATGTAGACTAGGAAGGGGGAACATATACCTAAACGCTTTGAAAAGCAATTTAACACACAAACATTGATAAGTGCAGGTAATAGACGTCTATCATCATTGAAATGAATCATAAGGTTAATCCGAAAACAACATTGACGATATTCCATTGGGACAGTTAGGAGAGCATATCAAAATTTGGCGAATGTTAGCCACTCGTAAAGTTAATTTAGTAGTCTTATATGATTATATATATTATTTCATTTCATTTTCATATATAAATTAACTTGAGACAATTAGGGGATTAGATTGTTCGAAGTGTATTGCACAAGTACACATCAGATAATCTTCGTCTTTTAAACGTTTTATTTCATCTTGCCCCTTTCATTTAATCATGGTTTTATAGACAGAGTCTTAGAGCTGTTTTGGAACAGTTAATATTTATAGATAATCTCCAGATGATTCTTTTATGATTTAGTCTTTCAATAATGTAATTAAAAGACAGTATGCATGTTAAGGAGGTCGTCAAAGTATCGTATACTTAGTGTTATTGCTAGTATTACACCGTCGTTGATTGGACCGAATTGATCAGTTTGTGTTGGCATATGGGCTCGTATGCGGATGCCTCGATATTGCCTGTCTTTTAACTATGTTTAGTCTGAGTCCCGATGGGAACAACATCACTCACTGGGAAGCAGGTACATCCAGCTGACTAGTGAGTCCCAAACAGAACGAAATGTGCATCCTGGATTCCACTGCTAGCCACTGGCCATCATTACTAAACATAGTTAAAAGACAGGCAATATCGAGGCATCCGCATACGAGCCCATATGCCAACACAGACTAATCAATTCGGTCCAATCAACGACGGTGTAATACTAGCAATAACACTAAACCTATACCCGTCGCACAAGAAGTGACTATCGTGGCTCGGTGGTGTAGTGGATAACGCGCTGACGTTTGAAGCGATCGCTCCCTAGTCCGAGTTCCGGTGGGAACAACACTCACTGGGAAGCAGGTACATCCAGCTGACCAGTGAGTCCCAAATAGAACGAAATGTACATCCTGGATTCCTCTGCTAGCCACTGGCCATCATTACTAAATATCGTATACTTAGATTGACGACATAGGTGTAGATTATCATTTATTGATACTTGCAATTTTCCGTTGTTATTCTTAATAAAATTCACCGATACCTCGATATTGCCTAGTTACTAATTATGCTGTAATATTCCTTGGTGATGGCTAACAGTAAAATCTAAGGGAAGCGCTTCGTCCTACTTGGGATTCATCAACTGGATTTACCTGCACTCTAGTGAGTTTTGTTTTTCTCACCCAGCATTCATTATTCAAAATACCAAAGCATTTTCTACTAGATAAATCCAGCTGACGAGTCTTAAATGGGACGAAACGCGGTTCCAAGTAAATCCAGTAGTCCATATTTCCTACGTCTGTCAGTTGACGATATAGCGTGACCATCATCTAATGTCATCGTTGAATATTTGTCCTTTCATCCACTCAATTCACTTCATCGGTCACGACTTTTCATTGGGACTTCAAGAATCATATCTTGAAGCAAGTCACCAATGAGCACTAGATTCAATCTGACGGTTTCTGCAGCGATTTATTGATTTTAAGTTGGTATTCATCATAGACTATATTGTTTTCCCTGGCCAAGGCCATCTAAGGATATATAAACGAATGAGTTTTCAGCTATCAGGATTCGGTTGAGGTAAATATACCTCCAATCCCATTGTCTTCTGGTGTCAACTGGATATCGAGTTGAAAAGTTATTGTTCTATCCTTAATGGTGCTGCATCGGAGAATTGTATTGTTATAAATAGCGTGGATCATAACAATATTTATATGTGATTATATTGAAGGCTTGGCTTGTGGTCTCCATAGTAGAGTATGTTGGTGGCATAATTGTGAAGTGACAAGCATGAAGATGAGATATGTTTAGTAGAAAGACGTAACACTATACACGACAATATACGCTTTAAGGTGAGAAGAAGAAAACGATACATGTTTTCCGTGCTCGGATATATTCCTGAGTCGTAGGAAACAC